GATGTGTTTGGGACCTTGTTTATCCTAGGTTGTTTAGGGCTGTTGTTTAAGGATATGTTGTGATGTAAGAATATTTCCCTTAATGTTATGTATTTGTTATAGCCTAAATCGCATCTACTTCATGATCATGTAGTTGAATTAAACCTTATCGTCAAAATGCTCGCAAACCGACTTCGTTGGAGGTGCTGTTAAAGCCTTAAGATCCAAGGAGTCTACGGATTTTTTCAAGACAACTTGACCTTAATCATTACGTCTTTGTTAAAGTTTCTGTATATCTATAAGGAGCAAGTTAGAGCCTGACAAGGTTACATTGCTAAGGCCGATCCCGTGCATGACAAATACTCAAAACGAAGGAATGTCTGTCCGGAATATAAACACATTGCTTGGTAATTCCTGCTTTCGGACGTATCTGGGCATTGACGTGCATTGTATACCATTCGAAGTGAGTAAAGCAAAAAAAGAGGAATCAAGCGCCAAATGTATTCAAATTTCCTTTCCACGCCGACAAGAGACAGTGCTTCAAGCCTCATAGAAAGATGTTACTTTTGCGCTAAAGCCGAAACAAATTTTTTGCCTCGGCTCTTAGGGAATTCGAGTTACCGTATTTCGAAGCTTTAATGCAAACTAGCAAGCACCTCCTTTTGACCAAAACTTGTTTCTTTTGTAGCACTAGTGGCATCGCGATTAGTCTGGAAATATAGCCAAGTTATGCGCAGTGCAGACATCGTTTACTCCTGCGAAGCCCTTATCCTAGTGATGTCTTGTCTACATCCCATTTCAGAAATGGCAGTCTCCAGAAGATTTGGCTTTTGCATGCTAGCAATAGATTCATGTAGTGGGTTGCGCTGATACTGAATAGGGCTTGATATTGAAGGCCTACCTTCGGGAAGAACGATTTGAGATTTGAGATTAAAGGAAAGCCAGGTAATTCTCACATTAAGGTAATAGTAAAAAAGTGAATTTTGCCATCGAAATAGACTAAGTTACTTCTACTCGTTGTGAGTAGGACGCGAGATTATCCATAGATCTCTATTAAGGACCTTGTTTATCCTAGGTTGTTTAGGGCTGTTGTTTAAGGATATGTTGTGATGAAAGAGTATTTCCCTTAATGCTATGTTTTAGGCATAGTCTCAATCGTTCTGTAAGTCGAATGTAATTCATGATCATGTAGTTGAATTAAACCTTATCGCCAAAATGCGCGCGAACCGACTTCGAATTCCGTTCGAGGTGCTAGTAAAGCCTAAGCGAGTTCGAAATGCAAAATAACAAAGTATTATGCGAGGTAGGGCTAGGGGAAATTTAATGACACCGTCAGACCAAATCATACCAATGTCGAAAAAACTCAATTTTTAGTCAATATATCTCCTTAAATGAGCCAGGGTAACTAAATCCTTATATTTTTGGGGGGACTTTCATTTCGAATGAGAGTGCATGAAGAAGAGATTCGTAGGTCGATCTCATCAGAAGAGGACAGATGATTTCCGTTGTACTGAAGCCGTTTGGTTTTTATACCACGTTGAGATTGATGCATTTCACGAGATTTCCTCCCTCGTTTCGGATGAAAATGGGTTGAGCTTGCATCCATCATATGATGGACATCATCAGAGCTTGATCTCAATTCTGTAAATGTCTCACGTTAACCCTATGGCAAGAAGACTATCCGAATTCATCCGTCCTCTTCTGGTGAGATCGACCTACGAATCTCTTCTTCATGCACTTTCATACAAAATGAAAGTCGCCCCAACAATTTTATCTCAAGAGATTCATGGAAACCCAGTTTATCTTCGTATTTACATAATTTATATTCATAGTGAGTAGTACATTTAGGTACTACTAGTAGGTTTTGAGTAAGAACTATATTCACTCTAGAATGCGTAGAGTAATGAGGTATTGATACTCGAATTCCCTCCCCTCATGACATGAGTAGGGAGCTTTGCCTCCCAAAAAGAATTCTTATTCAGGGAAGTGAAAATCCTACCGTGTACAGGTCTCATCAACACATAAATTGGAAGCCTACTTAATATGAATATAAGTAATGTAGTTGATTGTAATGGCAAATACAAGCTTTTTATCTACAATCCCATTATTAAAATGTTATATGAAAAAATGCATGGCCTTCCTTGAAATCCGCATCCGCCCTGTGGCCCAAAGGCACTCGTGATAGTGTGGCTGAATTGATAACGTGTCGAGTTCACATGCTGCATTGTCACGGTTATACCCCTCTTGGGGGTGCTGATAAGACCTAGACGAGGTCGAAACTGCAGCCCACCCTGGATGAGAACATCTTTTGGGAAAGCAAGCTGTGTGAAATTCATTTGAAACGTCAGCTCTACTCATTTCATTGTGGGAAAATTCTGCCACCAATCCTTCATCGCCTTAAACGAAATAGAGCGAATACATTTCATATAACAGATTTTCCGGTACTCTCGAAACTCTACATATAAACGAAATGAATGTGATATGGTCAAGGCAAGGCTCGCTGAAGAAGTCGGCGAAACGTCTGAGAATGTGCCAAGTCCAATGTCCGACGCCGGAAACCGCCATGGTCACTATGGTGTAAGATTCCAGACAAAATGTTTCCATCTAGGTCGCCGTGACAATGCAAATAAGTTGTAAAAACGAGATCAAACGACTTTTATGAACTGCGATCATGGAGGAAACCACACCATCTTGGCATTCATACCTTTGATTAGAAAAGCTTGGTCCAAAAATATCAGCACTCAGCCAGGGATTGGCAATCGTGTCGACGGCACGGTGTGTTTGCGTACATGATGATGGGTCGGTTGAGATTGTATGTGCAGCAACGTGGTACAGGCGCAGAGATACGGCAGACAGAATCCTCATGAGTCAACGTGAAACAGACGTGACCACATTCACGACGGCTTCGGTTTTTCAGGCGAAATCAAACCTCACGCGTTTGGCCTCTCGCCGACGCGCCTGGCCGTCTGACCAAGTCTTGTATCGATTGGGCAAGCGTAGGGCCAAAACTGAGCCGTCTTTTGAGGAGAGCGAGGAAGAGAGGGCGCGAGTGGACAGGCAAGCTTGCATGTGAGTGAGTCCAAGTCTGTGGGGTGATTTAAATTCATCAAAGCGGCTTCAGCTGAGCGCGTGCTGGCGCTGTGCCGGCAGGAAAGTAAGAAACTAGAGAATATATGAACTTCGATCGATCAACTGACCTGAGCTGGGTCGTCTTAAACAGAACTGTGGGAAGTGCGAATAAACTGGACAAACTCAAACGAAATACGAAGAGTAATTGGGTTTCGATAAATCTGCTGTGAAAACATTTTTGAAGAGATAAAAGTGCCTGAAGTAGGGATTCGAACGTCGAACTCACCAGAGCATGACGGCTGGTTCTGGTTGTACTGCGGCTGTTTAGCTTTAATGCGATGTTGAGGTACTTTTTCAAATAAGGTGAATCATTATATGGACCTATTTGACAAATTGACTGAGGAGGCGAAGAATAGGATTAAGCTAGAGATGATCCCTTATTTTAAAAAGGTAATCCCACTAAAGCAATCTTATGCTCTTAGTAGGATTTCTAGATATTTCTGTGGCATAATCTAATTGTTATGAAAGCCGACAAAGGTGGAATAGTGATAACAATGGCTAGATCAAGTTATGTAGATACTATGCTAACACATATGTGCCTTTAATGAGAGATCCAACGGAAAGAATTAAGGCTAGGCTGAAGTATGCCCTTAAGGTATGCGGAAGTATTGGTGAAGTGGAGAATTGGAAAGTAAGTCAACTATTCCAAAGATGTGCAAGGGCCCAAACGGCTTACGGTCTCCCTAAGGTCCACAAAGAGGGTGTTCCTCTTAGCTTAATTGTAAATAATAAAGGAAGCGTCATGCATAAAATCTCACGTTTTTTACGAATTCAACTGCGCCGGCAATGAGAACGCTTAGTATTAAACGTATCATCATCTTCCGGCCTAGGTGCTAATAATTTGTGAATAATACCCACCCACACCATTAAGACGTCTGGTCAACATCTCTTTAAGTCGGTAACCAATCCTTGACATTGTTAGAAGGACCTTCCTTTCGAATGAAAGTACATGAAGAAGAGATTCGTTTTTCGATCTCACCAGATAAGGACGGATGAAAATCGT